GTGCAGGCAACCTGAGGCGGGCGGGGCCCAGTACACAGCTGCTCGGCTCCGGCTCTGGCTCCGGCTCCGGCTCAGGCTTACTGTGGCACCTAAGGTGGGCCGGGAGGGCATGACCAGACTTCCCTACGCCTGAGATGCAGGTTCGGGAGCTGGTTTCGGCTGTTGCGGCCCCGGAGTTGTGTCTTCTCTAAGCCCCTGGACCCGAGTGTCAGGTGACTGCAGCATTCTGGGTGCTTGGCGGTGAGAGGAGGCTTCCATGGCCTCTGCCTGAGCAGGCCCAGCCCGACCGTCTCTCTCTAGAGAGGGTGGACAGCACCAGAGAGGCACCGCGGTCTCCTGACCTGCTTCAGCCAAGAGCTGTCCTGAGTTGGGGGGCCAGGTGGATGGCGGGGACACCCATCACGCCAAAGGAGGTCAGCCACGGCCCCTGAGCACAGGCCATCCCCGCCCCCCATCCCCAGGCCTCGATCTGGGAGTCCAGCTTGGACAGGAGGCCTTGCCCAAGGCTGCCCAGAGAGGGGCCAGCGGTGCCACACAGGAGTGCCTTATGACTCCCCAGTTCTGGGTGGGTGTCAGACCAGCGCTGAGGGCTCCGGGCCAGCCCCCTGTGAGCAGGCCATCAGCACTGCTGGCCTGGAGCCTTGCTGCCAGGTTTGGCGTGACCTGCCAGGGTGGCTCGCAGGCCCAGGGCTGGCTCCTTGCACTCCTGCTGCAAAACCAAGCGGGGAGGCTGGCCTACAGGGGCCACAGGCTGCGGAGCTGAGGGGCCGAGGGCACTGGAGTCCTGATTGCTGTCTCCGGCTCTCTGATGGTGCCGGGTTCTATTCCGAGCGGCCCTGGTCACATACGCAGCATGGCGTCGACTCGGACACACCTGCTGCCAGTACTAGTTAGCTGTGTGCTCTTGGGCAAGTCATTTAGTGAGTCACCCGGGCCTCGTCTCCTCCTGGGTAAAGCAGGGAGGCACACTTACTTTGTAGGGCAGTGGTGAGGAGGGACGCCCGAAGAGCGCCACTGACAGCAGGAGGCCATTACTGGGGCCGCCCTCGTGTTTGCTAGCAGGACGCAGAGGCTCTTACGCCGACCCCCCCTTCCGCGAGAGCCCCTATGGCTCCCCTGGGCCAGCAGAGTGGGCTCTCTGAGAGGGCGGAGGGGTGGGGGAGCTGTTTCCCAGAGCCGCAAACCTCCCTCAGGTCCTCGGGCTCCATCTCCACCCGCCCCAGCTGCCCCCGGCTATAACTCTGGGCTGTGGCACCCAGGGGAGCTGTGAAAGCCTAAGCTTTCTCCTCCACCTCCTCCACTCCAGGCCTCAGGGGCCACCTTGAGGGCCAGCGCTCCCCTCCCTGCCCTGGGGTTCCTTTCCTGGAGGACGTCCACGGCAGAGGGGATGCGGGGTAGCACTAGGGCAGGCAGCTCGCCTCTGGCATAGGCTGGGCTCATTGCCTGGTGTGGGGTAGCCAGCAGAGGGACAGTCTCAGCTCAGCACGTGGGGCCAGCCCAGGACGGCGGCGGTTTCTCATCCAGTGGACGGAGATCGCTCGCCATCTGCCCTGGCTCCTGCCCTCCAGATCATGTCATGGATACCCTCCAGCCTGTTAAGTGGCAGGAGCCCAGAGCGACTGCTTTGCTTCCAAAAGCTCTGACCCCTGGGACCCCAGCCCCGGAAGACTCGGGCTGCACTTGCCGTGCCACTCGCGTCGGCATGGTACTTCGGGAAGTCCGACTTCTCTGAGAGGGCTTGTGACACCCGCCCCGCCCGGTGACTGGCGGGGTCAAGGCACCCACGGTGTAGACCCCTGCTAGGGTGCTCAGTAGTGGGTGCTAGGGCCACGCCGCAGGTGACCCGGGTGCCGCGGGACGGCTGCGCCTGCCCTCACGGGAGCCTCCCTGAGCAGGTCCGTGACTCCCCCAAGAACTGCTTGCCTGGACTCTGCCACCCTCACAGCTTTCGACAGCTGGGCCCCCGTGAATCAGGAGGCGCCGTTCCCTGCACAGGGTGCTTTCCTTCCCTCCCTTCTCCCCTGGTGGCCCATCTGCCCTGGTGGCTCTGTGCTTGGGCCTAGGGACCTGTGCCAGGCTCTGGGGTTCTAATGGGACTCGGGCGGAGCCCTGCTCAGGAAGGCAGGGGGTGGGCTCCTGCACGGACAGTGAGCCCGAGGCCCTCAGAGCCTCCCAGGAGCCCAGGAGGGAGAGCAGGCTGAGGGCAAGATGCCGGCGCAGCCTGGACCTACTGATTCGAGGTCCCTAAGGACCTCTAGGTCAGGGAGCTGGTCAGGGCGTTGTTAGCGAGGCAGGCCCAACATGGAGAGCTCAGTTTTGGGGGGAGATGAGAGAGCGGCCGAGACTGGTCCAGGGTCACACAGGCAGCATGAGAACCTCCTGCCCCGGTCAGGGTGCCTTCCACGGTGTAAGGGCCTCGGGGCTGCTGGAGGGGGCAGGCGGCCTGGGTGAGCCGCTTGGCACCCCTCAGCTGGGCTTGCAACCAGAGGGAGAACAGCGCCAACTGGGCATCTCAGTGCCGCTGGTTTATTAGTAAAGCCAAGGTCGGAAGACGGCCGTCCCTGCCCCTCGACCCTCCCACCCCTCCAGACCCACCCCTGTGTGTCCTGTGAAGGTGGACAGTAGATTTGTCCCCGAAAGACTCAGAATTGCTCATGCCGGAATGGAGAATGACAGATGACAGGCTCAGATGGCGGTGTCCGGTGTCCTGTGACTGTGTCGACTCCACCCAGGATTCCTGGAAAAGACGGCTTGGGGTTGGGGCCGGGCGGCCGCTGCTCACAGTGCTGTCCCCAGGGCCAGTGGGCGTCAGGAGCAAAGGCAACAGAAGAGGCCGAGCTGGCCCCGCGCGCTACCCCGCTCAGCTGGGCCGCAGGCTGGTTTTGTAAAAACGGTTAAAAACTCCAGCCATGAGCACCACCCTCCCCTGAGCAGGGTGAGAGGAGGCGCCAGCTCTGGGCTTTGAGGTCTCAGGCTGCGGCCTCCTGGCCTGGCCTCCCCTCCCTGGAGGCAGGCAGCACCCTGAGGGAGGCCAGGCAGGCTCATGGGCCCCGTGGGTGGCCCTTGGTGGCCTCCGGGGTCCCAGGAGAGCTTCAAGATGGCTGTCTCCCCTCTTCCCCCCCAGCCCGCTGGGAGGCTCAGGCCTCGGGGACCCTGTGCAGCTGCTGCTCTTTGGGTTCCAGAGGTCGGAACTTGCCCTCTAGCAGGGGTGCGGCGGGCTGGAGGTGGATGACAGGCCTGGTCTGGAAGATGGTGAAGCCCTCCTGGTTCTTCTGGTTGAACAGACTCACCCTGTGCTCCAGCTCGGGGCTGGTGTGGGCTGAGCCCGTTAGGCCGGGAAGGGCCGGGGGGGCTGGGTCCAAGGCCCTCTGGGGTGGGCAGGGGTCCTCCGACAGGGAGGACAACAGGTCCTGAACAGTGGCTTCCCCCATCTGCTGCTGGGGTGGAGGCGGCAGTGGCAGGGGGCAGGGGCCAGGCTCCGAGGACGGCTCCTCGCGGGCGGTGCTGCAGTCCGTGGA